GTGCTTGTATTAGAAGTTAGCAGTGGTTTAGTTTTTTACTGCCATATTAGAAGGACAAGAAACTCACTGTAAAAATGTATAATGACTTGTTTTAAGAGGACAAAAAAATATTTCTTGTTTACATAAGTATTATCTGCTATACCAGAACTGAATGTAGCTGAACATAGTTTTCTTAACTCTGGAGTATTTTCAATCTTATTTTATGCTTTAGTGTTGATTTAAACCTATGAATGCTACTTCGATAGTGGTATAAAAATGTGTAAAAAGCCACCCCAAAAATAAAAATCCTAATATAAGATTTCTTTGTGAAATCAGTTTCAGGAAATAGAAGAAACAGTCTTTGAATTGCAGTCAAAACCTAATAGCATATTACAAAGCTCTAAGTATCTACTTAGCATCTTTCATTTAAAGAAATTTGCCACGATGTTATGATATTTTAGCAGGGGCTGAGAACAAGCCTTTACTGGGGAGAGAGATAATCATAGTTTACAGATTACTGGGGTCATGAAGAGTATGGCCTGTATATTTAATTTTTTAATGTGGTTGGCATAAGAACAAATATCTCCTCTGATTTCATAATATGCATTGCTGTTAAAAATGTTGACAGTTCTATTTGCAAGCTCTTTCCACGTGCAAGCAAAGAAAGCCTTGAACATGGAAACTAAAAACTTTATTCTGTATTCACAAATAAGAATTAAATAATGCACATCAGAGTCATCTCTTTCTCATCACAACGTTGTTCTCTTGAGTGGGCAGAGATCTGGGTGCACCAGAGAGTGACAGACAGTCTTTTAGCGGATGTAGCAAATCTGTAATTACCAAACTTGCCTCTGGCCCGCAGAGAGGACACAGTGGGACTTGAAACTGCTCAAGTCTTGCTACTATCAGCTCCACTGTGCTTTTTAGCCAGGTCTTATTTGCCAGAATTAAGTTTATGCACTCTGGTTGTGGATAGAAATGATAACCTACAGTCATCAACTGTGTAAAAACGGATATTAGAGATTATTATGGACTAATTTAAGTGAACATACAAGGCAAAAGAGGATGGTGTCGCATTTCATGTTAGGAGAAGCTTGGTAAATCCCAGCTGCTTTGTCAAGTTCATGAACTAGATTTCAGTAATATGAAACGTGGATTTTTCTTTTGAATTTTTTTGCCCTTGAAACTTTTGCCTTTATTTATTTTTCCAAATTAACATTTGAGTGAGTCCTTCCTAAACTTACGAGAGTAAACCAGAAGAATCAATATGTCACAAACTTCTGTTTAAGTGTGGCAAACAGCAGCGGTGGGAGGGCAGTGCCTGCTGAGCAATGGAACATCTTGTGGTAGTCTGGATTTAATGATACAGCAAGGCACAGCTGTGGGTAAGGACTTTCGGTAAACCACCTGATGTAAGTACAGAAAGCAGACAAGTAGCAGGGCACTTGAGTTCAGTGGTCTGTCAGGCCTTCTACAACTGAAAAAGCTTTTGTAGGTGGTGAAAAACTAACTACAAATCTTGGCTATAAACCTGTACTGTCATTTCCATGTTTTATGTGTGTGTGTTAGAGCTGGATGCTAACAAACTGCATTGTGTAGTGTATAATAGCACGATCTGAATGAAGGGTAGAAGTAATGTATGGAGTCTTAGTGTCATTCCTGTACCTATAATTTTTTAAGAAGGAATGCTAACAAAGAAATAAGTCTACTAGCTCTGTCAAACTTCTGAATATAGTGGTAGCAGATGAACATACATAATCTTGTTTAAAAAACCCCCTAAGATTTGTGCACTTGCACTTTCTGTACATGTGCTTATCTGTCAACAAATCTGACCATGAGGTATAGATCTCAGCTAAATTGTAGATTGATGGAAACAAGCAGCCAGGCAGGGGGACTGTGCTAGAGTCCCTGCAGAGAGATAAGCTGCAGCCTGAAATCGATCGTATTAGGCTCAGTTTCAAAATGTCAATCCAGAGAAAGCAAGGTTTTACTGTTTCTGTGGCGTCTGTTTGACTTGGACACAGCACAGCTCCTGGAGTGGTGGGAACATTCCCATATCGTGCAGTCCTGTCAGGCAAACAAATTATCCACAGGCTTACATAAGATGGTCTAGGTGTGCGTCATTTCTTATATTTTCTCCATATAATGCTGCTTCTGTCAAATAAATGTCAAAATCGTGACATTCCTGTAAAAGAACTGTAAGAGAACAGACCAATATAATTATTGGCAAAGAAAGTAGCTTTAACTTTTTAGCTGCTGATTTATTATTCCTACTCCAAAACTGTCTCAAAATTTTCAAGAACTGTTCTAGCAACTCTCTGAAGCTGCTGACAGCTGAAAGCTATGTCTAGGACACCTGGGAGAGAAAATGCAGGGAGGTTTTTCCTAAATCTACTGAAACACATCAAGGGTGAGGAGTTTATGTTGACATAGAAGTATTTTACTCAGTATGAACTTCCTTAAATGAAGATATTTGAAACGTAGAAAGCAAACAGATGAGAATGAATAAACCAGGTTGCCATGCAGTTCTGGCAGACCCGCGGTTACTGTGTCTATTGGCAACCCCTGTCAGGGGGATGGGAAGGTTACTGTTCCACTGAGTTATAGTGGCATTTGTGATCTGGAGCAAAAGCTCTTTATTTCCATGGGGAAGAGCCACAGAGGATCAGTTGAGAAAAAAGTTTGGGGTTTTTGGTTTGTTTGTGGTGGTTTGTGTTTGGTGGGTTTTTTTGTCGTTTTTGTTTTTGTTTTTTGTTTTTGATTTTGGTTTTTGTTTTGGTTTTGGGGGGTTTTTTTGTTTTGTTTTGTTTTTTGGTTGCTTTGGTTTTTTGAGGTGGGGGGAGATAGCAATAATATTTTTCAGGAGAGGAATATATTGTCCATGGTTTTGTCTGCAGTCTTGTGCTCAGACAAATGTGGGAAATCCCTTGAGACTGTGCACTAATTGCTATTTCAAACAATAAACTATCCAGCTATATATTACCAGATAGTTTGTAGATCTTTGAGAAAAGCCTCTGTCCTCATCAAAGATGGCTAGTTTGTTTTTTTTTTATGGGGCCAGGAAAGGAGTGAGAAGAGATCTGTGTAAACTTGATTTGTAAAAACTATTTGAAATTATTAATTCTGTACTTGACTGAAAATTTACAAAATCCTGAACTCTTCTCATTATGATTAGTTATGCTGAGTTTAGTAGCTTACAGGGTTACAGCCAGGTAAGAGATAGACTGTAATAAGCTATAGAAATTTGATGAGAAAGTTAATTCAGCATTTTAGAGAATGCTGTTGCCTAAAGTTATCTTATTCTGGACTCAGCTTTTATGATACAGTTGTATTTAGTTTTGCCAAAATAATTCCTGGCTTTCTGGACTGGTCAGTTAGCTGACCGACACTTATTTAATAACACACTGTGAGGAATGACAAAGCCACAGTACAGCTAAAAATTTTCTAGATTTTAAACCTAGCAAATTTATGCCTCAATAAAATGAATGCTGTATCTGCCCTGAAGACCTACATGTATGCATTGTCAACCGATACCTTGAACAGCCAGACTCCAAAGACATGCCTAAAAAAATCCTTCATTTTTTACACACCATGAATTGCAGAAATCTTAGTGATTTGTTACCTGTACCTTGGAGACTAAGATGTATAAATATATATATGTACATGTTTGTGTGCATAACCCAATGGTGAAGGCCCCATTTATCTCAGATGAAATAAGAGTAATGCTCTGAATCTCCTAAATACCATGTCTGTACTTTCACTGGTAGGATGATTGAGAGGTAAGATCTCTCTTCCAAACTCCTTATTCTTTTACAAGAATTCTCAAATTCAACAACAGAACCATTGAAAAATATTTTTTAATGCTTTATGGACTTTTGGTTATGCCAGTGTAAGCCATTTGGCTGAATTGGAGCTTTCCCAGTGTAACAGAATAGAATCTGTCTGTAAAGTTACCTTGTTAGTAAAGGAGCCAGGTGGCTTACTGTCAAATGTGATCTTTCTAATGGCATATTCACTTATGCTGGCTTCTTTTGCTTATATGGTACAATAAATAGTAATACATAATATTTCTCATTTGGAGAGCGATGTCATGCACAGACCCCATTTAAGAAACCTGCATTACTTTTATACTGAAACCTTAAATGAGAGAATTTGCCAGAGATGACAGTGGAGTCCCAAAGCAATTACATCCAAAAGTTTAACATCGTCGTGGTATTGGAAGTGACTGTAGCAAAAGAGGACGAATTTTAAATATCTGTGAGAAACCAGTGCAGTTTATGATTGTCGCTTTGCCGCACTCGGCGTTGGTAAACTCTGTCCGTGCACGTTGAGACATCTGCAGGAGCACCTTGAACCCTAATAGAGACCGCCTTTCTCTGTCTGAAGGCAGCGATTTGAGCGCGTTAATACCCGTAAGAGCAGGAGAGAGAGCACTTGATTTTATGTTGTTGAAGTGACTTTAGGTCCAAACTAGCATTACTTGAGGAGTCGTATATGCACCCTGTTGTGTGTGGTGTTAGGGAAACACGGCGTTTTCACATAGCGGAGCCCGGAGCGGTTAATTCGACGTATCCGCGGGAGCGCGGTGTTCCCCCCTGGGAAATGCGGTCTCCCGACGGACGCGCTCTCTATCCCTGCGGGCGTCGAGGCGTGAGACCTCCCTTCCTTTCCTCCCTCCACCTCCCGTTCGCGGGAGCGCCCTACCTGTGGCGGGGCGGTGCAGGAAGGGGGCGGCGCGGCGGGGCGGCGGTTCCGGGCACGTCGGCGGGCGCTGCGCGTTCCTCGCACCGGGACCCGCCGCCGCCGCCCCCCATGGCCGCTCCGCAGGACCCGCTGCCCCCAGGTGAGGACCCGCCGCGGGGTGCCGGGCGGGCGGGGAGTGCACCGAGGGGCGGCGGCGGCTCCCGGGGTCCCCACGGGTCCGGGACAGGCGCTGTGCGGGGCGCGGCCCACCGCGACCACCCGCGGGCTAGGGGGACCCGGGGCCGCGGCTCAGGGGAGCCAGGTGAGGAGCGCAGCCCCGGCTGGGATAAAAAGAGTTGGCTGGTTGCTCCCTTCCCCCTCCGCACACGCTAATTAAGCGTGGTAATAATTTATCATGTGCTCTGCTGATGTGATTTAGTACAACCTGTCTTGTCAAGCCTGCTGTGGTGTTTAGGGTGTAAGTTAGTTTGCGCTAGCACGTTACAAAGACATTTGTAAAAAGACATTTTCTTAGAATCCCAGAGTTTGGGTGGTTAGGAAGTCCATGCATTTTAACTTACACAGCTAATGGAGCAAATGACTTGAGTACCTCATCTGAGGTGTGCCAGCATCACAGTTTTTCCCTACTTATCTGCTCAGACAGGGACAAAATATTGAGTAGTTAACAGTAAACAAAACTGCACAAGTGCTGATGGACTCAGATTTTTCAGAGAGCTGATTATTCTGATACAATTTGCCATACTTCCTCCTCTTACTAAAATCTGAAATTCAGGTGCTTCTGGTCAAAGAACCATTATCGATTTGATTTACAGGGTTCATCTTTATTAACAACATTAGTATTAGGGTGATAACTTTGTTTAAGTTGTATGAAGTTGAACTATTAATTTCACTTGGTGTGAAAGAGGTCTCTTTTTGTGCATGGTTGAACTACCCAGCTATGGTCCACCTTATATGTTTCACTCACTGCTGATAGTGTCAAGGCTGTGTTGCAAGGAAAAAACTAACGGGGGGGAATTCCATCTGTGCTACATAGTGCTTTGTGAATCCCCTCTGCTTAAAGGTCAAAATGCTGAGGTCCATAAAGCTCACCTTCAGGCTTCCTTCCAATGCAAAGATGAAAAGCAGATACAGAATTGACAAACTGTTTGTGCTGGTAAGGGCACAGCACTGCATCCCCATTGCAGTAGCAGTGTTGAACAGAGAGCAACGGTGGGCATTGGTACAAGTCGGCTGCTCTTTGTGCAGACTGGTTATACTGGATGGGCCCAGGCAGAGCTGTAGCAGCCGCTGGGCAGTGTGCAGGTGCAACAGGGTGCGAGCAGAAATGAACCTTGGAAGCAACCATCGAACCTGCCTTATGACTGTCTGAGACAATTTGCATGAGCTGATTTACGTCCATCTGAGTCAACTCACTTGTGGTTCCCTGTAGAAGTGTGGAGAAGTAAATGTAGGCCAGTGGCAATGTGCTGTCAGTGGGGAGTATGGTGATAGTGATTTTTTTGAGGGATTCCAGGTAATGTTGTTATGAAGCTGTCTGTGAAAGTAACTGTGAAATCAGACAATATGCACTGAACAGTCAGTCAGATGATACCTTCATTTCCTGTTGGCCTTTCAGCATGCAAAACTGTGGATGGTTTACATTTGAGATAAACAGAGAACTTTCCTCCCTGCTGCTTTGTGCACCTGTGCCCAGCTATATGACATGAGCTGCAGAATGTTGTGCGAGATATATGTGGGAAAGAGAGAGGGGACATGGCATTTTAACTGTGTTACTCACAATTAAATATTAAGTCTGGTTTTCAGATTATCTGCTTACTATCAGTGGCCAACAAGAGCACAGTGAATCATCTGAAGCCCAGTATGTTGAGTCTTTAATCTTAGGTATAAATATTCATAAACATACATACCACTTATAGAAAATGTTGGGACTGGGTTGTACTCTGCAACCTAAAAAACATGGAAGTCATTGTTCATGAAGAACTGTAAAAAAAGGGAAGAAATTAAGGTATAGCAAAAGAAACAGAGTTTTAAAATATTTTTCAGGATGGATACTAAGCAAGAAAGATGCAGAGCCATAGATTCACGTGAGTGTGTTTCTGAGTGAACCTAGAAAGCAGGAGTCAAAGATACCACATGGGACCCCATCAGCTCTTGTAGAGACATCCTGGAGTTTGTCCAGTCCTTGTTTCAAATGCCCATATTCTCGGAGCTTCTCCCATTTTTTCAGTGCTTCCCTCTGGATCATAGAAAGTGAGTTACCAGTGCCATAATGTACCTTGGTCGTATCTTGGAGGTGTAACAGAGGATAGGGGATGAAGCCCTTACCATAGCTACATAGCCAGCAAGGTTCATGGGCATTCTATGGGGTCTGCTTTCATCTACCTCAAGGCTCCTCTTATATTGGTTGCATGCTTTGCCATTGGGTTTGAATGGAAAAACCAGAAGACTAGGGGTGCCTGGGCTGGCCTTCTTGCCTAGAGCCTTTGGTTGCCAGTTCCTCATTGTTTTCAGCTTTCCTTTACAATGTGGGCTTCTCTTTTCCCCAGCTTCCTTTTCAGTTCCTCTGCAGCTTTCAACCACAGTTCCCACAAGGAACCTCCATTTTTGGCCCTACTTTTGTGCAATGTCTTATGACAGCTTATTGTATTTTCTTATATCCCGCTGACTATCATCCTCTCTGCATTTGAGTTGGGAAGTTTATGTGCTTCAGTTTGTGCTGACTCTTGCTATCAGGGAAGGCTTTATCCAGATCATTCTGTTAATATCATGTTTCTGGAGCAGGGATTTCATATTTACCAAAAGGGGCATGTGTGACAAGAATATAGGGTTTTGGTAGGGTTTTTTTTTTCCTCTTTTGCATATGGCTTCCTAAACTGCAGTGTGATCGATGCTCATCTGAAATTTCATAGTCCCCTGCCTTTTCAAAACATTCGGTGTGTCTCTGTGTAAAGACTGTGCTCAAGCCTTGTCGTCTGACACCTTTGATCATGTGCCACCTGCCTGGACAATGCCTGTGGATTTTCTGTGGGCTCTAGTGCTGAGAAGGGCTCTGCCTGGCATCACAGAGAGGAGCTGGGCACCATGCTGGACACCCAGGAACTGCTGCTGGTGAGGCTGCCTCACAGAAGCAGGAGGGAGAACAGCTCTGTCCCACTGCTGCCACCTTTTTTATTTTCAATATATTGGACTGTCTTGCATTTTTTACACTTTAGCTTGTTCTGTTGTGTTGAGTAGATTTGTAGCAGTGGGTTCCAAAATAAACAATTATGCTAAATTTGAGTTGGTTAGAATAACGTCTGTGTAACTTCTGTGCTATTTTGGGGTCCAGTGTTTCTACTGTGCATTTTATAGTTAATTTCTTGGACTGCATTCTAAATGCATTACTTTTTATATATGGGAGGAGGTAATTGCCAAATATTGATTCCAATCACCTCTTACTGGTTGCAGCTGAAAACCTTTAATGTGTACTTGTAGCAAGTATGAGGACTTTGAGTGAGAGTGACAAAAATGGAATGACAATCTGACTATATAATTTAAAATGCTTTTCAATTTTTGAGAACATTGATACTTATCATCAGAAGACATTTCTCGAAAATATAGCAGGATGATGTTAAATTACAGGAGTGGTTTTCTGAATCCTGACTTCTGTATGAGATTTGTTTTAGATTCTCTGTGCACTTGTGGCCAGTACCTCCCTATTATTTGTCAGTTTAGCCACTGATGCAGAGGGGTTGACATTTCATGATTCACCTGCAGGTACTTTGAAGATTTCTTTTTTGTATTCTTTTGATGTTCATATAGTTGAAGTTTATTATTCTATTTTATACAAATAATATTTTCCTCAAATATGTTTTTTAATTACGTTACTACAATCTGCTGTTTGTAATAGTATTAATTTTTGTCATAGTGGGTATGTTTCCTGTTTGAATGATTTCTTTGGGGAAAAAATGGAGTGCTGTCACTGGAAGAACAGAACTCAGCTTTTAGAAAATTTACTAGATTTTATTCTTCATTACTGAATTGTTTTGTGGTTTTTTTTTTTAACTAAAAATAGTTTTCATGTAAGTCTTTTTTTTGTTAGCTTAGAGTTGGGTTTTGTTGTTGCGTGTACTTTCTCATCTATGTGCTCTGACATTTTCCAGTTTGTCATGTTTTCTTGTGGAAATGTAATGACATAATGCATATAATGGCTGCATAGTTGTGCTTTATCTTGGTCAGACAAAGAAGCAAAATATGAATTGGCAGACAGAAATACTTTGATGATTATATAGTGATAAAGCTTTCTTATTCCAGCAGATCATGCAGCAAAAGAGCCAGTGGAGGATACAGATCCAAGCACTCTTTCCTTAACAATGGTATGTGTTTCTGGTCTAATACCGTTCAAATCGTTATAGCTCTCTATGGTTATGTAATGCAGAAGTGAGGTAAAAACGTTCAAGGATGCTAACTCTAAATAAGGATTTTGCTTATCTGTATGATTGCATAAACAAATTTTAATTTACTAACTTTGTGCAGTTAAAGTGTAAATAAAAATACCAATCAGTGCATCAGCTGAATTGGATGGTGTCAGCAGAGCTGTCCATGGGATAACCTCCAGAGGCTATGATAGTGCCATCTTTTTAATTTAAAAAAAACCCAAGAACCGAGAAAAATTGGTGCTGACATTCTTCTGTCTGTATAGTTTGGAGGGATAAGAAAACCCATCTAGGACCTATAATGTCAATTGTACTAAGCTGTTATTCCTTCCTGTGCCAGATGAGTTGAAGTCGTGGAAAGGTAGTACCAAAGAGCAGTGCCTTTGGCAGGCACGGGTGAACCTAGGGAGGGACCAAACAGAGCCCTCTAGTGCTTACTGGCAGAGGAACATCGCTTAGGACAAGTGTCTTAGGATATCGAGCATGCCAGTCTTATGCTGAGGTAGGAGTATATCTGCTGGGGTAGAAGTAATATGAAATCCTATGAAGTCTTTTAAATGTGGGGATTTATTTTGGTTTTGGTTGGGGTTTTTTTGTTTGGGTTTTTTGGGGATTTTTTTCTTTGTTTGTTTGGTGGTTTTTTTTAGTGTTGCTATGGATTATTTATTCTGGGGGAAAATTTACAGTGCCATGTACCCCAGGGAAAACTATTGTCAAATATAGTTATGTAAACAGATTGAAATGCGTTAATTTATTTTATGAATGGCAAGTGAGCAAATTATTGCTTTGTCTTGGTGTTTTCTTCCCATTTTGAAGCTTTGCAACAGGGACTCTGCAGGAAACTCTGAAAATTTCACTAGTACTTTAATGCTGAGGCTGCACTGCTATCCATTATTGCAGTATGTTTATTTGCATTTTTGCTTGCAGGTTTTAATAAAAACTATAGACTTCTCTTTGGTTTTGTGGACTGATTAAATTAGATACTGTATTTTGCTAAGGGGATTTTTTTTTTTAAAGGTGAGGGAAAGTTGCTGTGTCTGAGACATGAAGTTTCTTTAACACACAACCCCACCATAAAAGATCTTTTAATCCATTTGCTTGGTTATGAGCTTCTTTAAAAGCCTCACCTACTTTTGCATAAGGGTGAGGGTCATAGGGAAGGAGGTAGATTTCAGGCATAATATTAGGTTATAACATGCCCAGAAATCAGTAGCTATCTCCTTAGACTCAGTAATAATAATTTTCTATTGCATCTTAACTGACTATTTAAGTTTAGAAAAGAAGGGGCAAATATTTCTTTTTTTTCCCAATACAATAATTTATCAAAAGCTCCTATCTCCTAAAAAAGCATTTTAAATCATCTCTGTTCCTCCTGGTATGCATTACCTTTTCAAGATTATCTTGCTACTTAAGTGCAAAATTTCTTTCCCAATCTCTGCTATTTCACTCGAAAGTAATACATTTAAAAATACTGTAGCAACACAGCAATCTCTATTACTTTTGCATGTGCTAATCAAAATTGCTAGTAGCATCTCAGTTACCACGTAAGAAGTGTTACTGTATCTGATGGTGAACAGATCAACTAGTAGCAACTTAAGTGATGCAACTATAATTACACGATTTTATATGCTCTTTCTCCAGCACAATTACATTCAAAATAACAAGTATCTGTTTCTTGCCTTTTTGTGACAGACTGAAAAATATCCTGTCCAAGACACAGGAGTACCTAAAGGTAAGTATTGTGAATTCTGTCTATTCAGGTGTCATAGATATGTGTTGTTACGTGCAATAAAACCGGTGGTGCTATCCAAAAATTGAAACACTCATACTTTTTCCTAGATGTGTGTTTTAAATGTAATGTCCTCTTCTGTATTTTTAAGGTCAGTTTGGTGTGTATATTTAACTTCTGAAATAACCTTCCAAAGTTTAGTTTTGATCTAAAAGTCAGTCTAAAACTATCATCAGAAGATCTGGGTTCTCAGTCTGGAAGGAAAATACATCGAAGAACAGTGTTCAGACAACAGATGGTAGAGACATCATTATGTTAGAAGGTGGCTTTGAAGAGGTTACCAGTGCTTTCAGGTTGGCAGAAATAATAAATCAAGAAATACCCTTCAGGTCTTTTGCTTCTGATTGCATTCTCAGCCTTATAACCAATCAACTCTTCGTGCTGTCCTTTGCCTTCAGCAGATGTTGATGCCATGTACTTGGGACTTGTCCAGGGAATGCACGGGCAGGGGCTCAGTTGAGAAGCCCTCTGCAGACAGTGTGTCTCTGTCCTGTGTTGCACAGCAGGTCTGCAACAGGACAGACACAGAAAACTAGGCAGGAACTAGTCACAATGGAAACTTTTGTTGAGGAGTGTGAGCAGCATACGACTGGGTTTAGAGAAAGGTCGGAGGTTATTTTGGGGACTTAAGGAAGCCAGCTAAAGGAAATGAACGTCTTTTCAGAAGTGCTGCTCAGTAGGGAAATATAACACAGGATGAAGACTTTGAAATCATAAACTACTTTCTCCTTATTTGCAACAGGTGGTTTGGTCATTCAAAATTGTTTTTAGCACTAAAGCAATTACACTGTAGCATTCTTTTCCATGTGCTGTTTTTTATTTCACCCATGACATTAGGTTCTCCTCAAAATTAATTAGATAATTCCTAAATTTTAAATTTGTCAAAGCTGTTTGAAATCTGAAATTGCATGTTTTAAATGCATTTAATTTAAAAAGGAAAGTTAAGACGTAAGTAGAAATGCCAGCATGAAAGGAAGTGAAATCAGTTTATATTTAGTTTCGGCTTCCTCTTGCTATGTGTAAGAAGATGGAAGTACTAATATAAAAATATAGCTTGACATTCCCCCTTTGTAGTTGAAAGTGATACAAATTCCTCTTAATATTCCATTCATTTCCATGATTTCAATTTTTTTTTCTGAGAATGACTTTTCATAACTATTTCTATAAAAATACACTTAGAAATAGGAACCTGTGAGATAAAAGGTATAACAGATGTGTAGGTCTGATTCTGTGTAACACACAATTATGTTTGCTTCAGATGTAATGTTTGATCAGACAGTACATCGGGAGAGTGGCTGTCTGTTGCTTTTAGAGCTCAATTAATTAATGGGCCATTTTGAGTCCATAATTTATTAAAGTTCTTGGCACCCTTTACTGATTATGAAATAAAGGGGAGATATGGGAACTTTTTATCTTGCAGGGGTAGTCTTAATGCTTATCATGATTTGATTATAATTCTACCTTCACTCAAATATAGAGCAAATTTCACATGTACTGTTTCCAGAAATTTGATGCCCATGCTCTTCATATTCAGACAGACTTTTTTTTTTCATTTTGGTTTTTTGTCATTGTTTCTGGGCCTACAGTAATAAAGAATAACAATAATCCTTACTAAACATTGACCCTGCTAGGGGTGAAATACTATTTGGCTTTAAGTTTCAACAGTCTTATAAATCCAGAAAAAGAGGAAAATAATGATTTTTGGGTTTTTTCTTGCAAGTGTAAGGATGAGTTCTTTGATTCAGATAAATTTATTGAGTGAGATAAGCAAATATGTCTTCTTTCTGTTATCTGAAGATTCATAAAGCTAATAGATGTTCTTTAATGAGATCTTACCACTAGGCAAACAGCAAATGGAAATGTACCAGCACTACAAAGGTAGTCAGCACCATGGAGCATTCCTTTGTGTAAAAATGTGGAATATAACCTCTTTTAAGCTTGTGTTAATGGTTGGTCAGCATCTGACCCAGGGGAATGATGGAAATGGTTTGATGAGGAGGACCTTATTAATCATGCTGAGTGGAATTTGTCTATTTGCACAAGGTTCACAAAGGGTTTATGTATCCCTTCTATCCCATTTTGAGGGCTGTAGTGATGCATGAAAGGTTAATAGAGTTTGTGCTGTAATGGGGAATGCCGTGCTTTTCAGTAGAGTCCCAGGGCAGTTGATAAACACACTTTAAAATTGATTATTTCAGTGCTTCAGAAAATTCCTGTGCAGTAGAAATAAGCAGGACGAGCCCAGTTCACAAAGGGGCAGAATAAAAAGTAATTATTTATGTGGTATATATTTCAACAACTGTCATTGTGTGATGAGAAAAGCAAACCAAAAACTATAGTGACTTGTGATAATCATCCTCAGCCTACTTTGATGTATTGATCCTGTAGTCAGCTTTCTGAAAGAAGAACGTGACTCTTGCTTTAAAAGTAGCGCAGTGTTTGTTTAGAAAACAACTGCTACTCTAATAGCTAATCTCTGCAAGGATTATATTTCTTTGCACAGTCATGCTCTGCATTATTGTTACAATCTCTGCTGATTTAATATTTTCGTCTTTTAATATAGCAATTTCCAGTGCTTGATCATGATATGGAGTTAAATTTTGTGTGTTAGACACCTATAATTTATGTTTGATAGTCTTACTATTTAAATTTGTATTTGAGCGGAAGACCAGTGTTTCACACTCTTTGTCTTAGATGAAGAATACCTTACAGATCAAGTTACGTTGGAAATTGCATCTGTGAACATCAAGACCCTTACACCAGATTCTGGCCTAATCCAACAGGTAAGAAAAATGATACTTGAATGTGAAATAAGTTATTGCTGTTAGATTAAGTATTTTAACAAATAAATATATTTTCAGATTATATCTGGAGAGCACAGAATTACTCAGTAAAAGAGATCAGAAATAGGCTCTCTTTCCAAGAGTTCAATGAAGTAAGTTTTTGTGGAGAGAAGCAGAAAGGTTATTTTATCATTAACATATCCTTTTTAGTTTAAATAGGTTTTGATTAGTGTGTAGATGCTCTGAAGAAGAGACAGCAAATAGTTAAGGCTTTGTCATGCATGCTGTCCCTCTTTCCTGTTGAAAATAGAGCCAGGGCAGAGAATAAGTGAAGAAGTAAGGAATCCTAGGTTTTGCCCTTAGGGAGGCATTTGACCATTTTGCTTTGATTTTGGGACACTGCTCTTCCCATAGTTGAAACACTCTCCATTATTTGTGACATCTTACATTGCCATAGAATGGACAATACTGAGTGACTCCCATGCTCCATGGTTATCATATTTCAAGTGAATGTTATTTGCTGAATTTCAAATTGATTCTCTTTGGGTTGAGCAGAAAACTTGGAGAAGAGAAATGAATGAGCATTTTCCAGCGAGACGAAGAATTAAAAGGAGTTCCTTATGCCAGAGTCCCAGCTGAATTTCATCAGAAACAAACATGGGTTTGGTATGCATTTCACAGATGATGGAGGTAACGGTTCATTCCCATCATCAAGAAGAGAGCATTTATTGACAGCTTAGAATCACTATAAAGATAATTCAGTGTATCAGGGTGTTAATGATTCCACAGAGCTGGAAAACTTTCTGCTTACCTTCAGACTGTGCTTAGGTTTATGGCTTTGATTAGATCCATAGAGGTTGAGGACCTTCACTGTGGGCTTAAAAATGCTCACATGGGCAGTAACACTACATTGTCTTATTGCAATTACATTACAAGAAAATTATCTTGAATAAACCCGAGTGCATCTGACTTGATAAAAGTGGATAATGACTGATGGGTAAAAATATGAATTTTGAAAACAGATGTATGGCACAGGTAAGTATCCCTGCTTTATTTTGTACATTTTGCCATACAGCCCACTCTTGTTAATTTTTTTATCACAAGACATGTATAATGACATAAAGGCATTTAGGTATCAGCTTTCACAATACAGTTTGAACTTTCACGAGTTCTTAAAGTCTAGGAAATGTTACTGAAGGTCAGGATAGCAACTAAGTGAACAGGATCTGCTTTTTTTTTTTTTTTTTTTTTTAATTTGCTTATTTGTGTCTTTTGAAGTAGATCTCTGGGGAGGCTGAGCTGTTCTGGGAAGTTCATCTTTCTCCCAGTGGGTCATCCTTCTGGGAGTTTGCTCCTCAGGGCTCATTAATAATATTCTGCTTTTTAAAGGAATTTCTGGGAGTGGAGACAATGACTATAATCAGAATCTCTATATTTAGTTTTTCTTAAACTTTGAGTGCTCACGTGTTGCCATGAAGGCCAACTTTAAGTTTAAAAAGCATTGTCCAGGTAAAGCTGTCATGGAGCCAGTGGAAAAGTAAAGTAGTAGAAGATAATGGCAACGCTTATCCTGTTGCAATTGGCAAGTGCAGTGTTAGATCTCTCTTCAGCAGAGAACAGACATTCTGATGTTGCATGTGTGATCTTGCCGTTTTCAAGGAATAAAGAAATGCTGAAAATAGTATGCAAATTTTTCCTTTGTGAGCATATGCAAGTTCACCAAAACAAATGGAAGTGCCTATATTCTATTTTTAATGGATTTCTTAGTAAAGAGGGTGTAGCAGGTAGGAATAAAGTATCTTATTACACCGTATTTTTACCCATATAATGACTTGTGTTTGCATGCACAACTTGCAAAATGTTAAGAAGCCTGCTGTGATAGTTTTGGAAGAATGACGCAATACAAAAAAATCAACAATACTTTGCTGCAGCTATCTAAGGGGAAAATCCCCTTCTGCTTTCATCTTTAAATCCTCAACGGAGGAAAGCTATTTCACCTGGCTCCACACCCGCATAGTTAAAATAAGGGGAGCTGCAGTTTCCCACAGTTCTAGGATCAAGGGCTGTCTTCCAGTTTTTAGATGTTGCCAAGTAGTTGAATTTTAACGTTACAACGTGTGTTACAGTCTTAAGTTGGTAAGAAATTTCATTATGTTTAATTAGCAAGTGAAAAACCACTGGGGGAATGTTTACTTCTAACAGGGGGAGGGTTAGATCTGAGCCAGCAGAAATGTTCAAATCAACATGTTGCCTAAAAAAGCTTCCTATATATGTAAAAAAGTTTGTAAAAAAAGCTCCCCCACTTTTCCTGGATCAGTGAAACAATCCCTCACTACTGCATTCAACAGGCAAAATCCTTGTTTTTTTCTCATTACAAAACATTTAAAAATATTTAGTCAAACCATGTAAATTGTTGAACAGCTGTTGAGGATTAAGAACAAATTATTCAAAAGATATAATGCTATAGCATATCATTAATTAAGATGACATTGTTCAGTGAATACAACCAACAGGGTAGTTCTGTGAGCCAAAGCATGGAAATCCTGTGTGAGAAGACTGCAGATTGTCAGGAATTCCTCAAAACATTATATATTCCCTGTCTGACTTTAAAAGAATCCTGAGCTACTTGTAAGTAATCTCTTGCCAGTTGCAAATTATCCAAATAGCTATTCTGGTATCAAGTACATTGTTTTATTTTGATTTATATTTGTTTTCTGCTTTGTAGCCAGAAGACAAAGACACGCAAAACCATACCAACGAATCACTTTCAGGTAACGTGTCAGCTTTCTTGTTCTATGTATTTTATTCATAGATTTTCTTTGAAAGTACTTTATTAAAAACTGCTCTTTGTCATAACCAAGAACTGCCTGCGTAACTAGTATTAGTGGACCTCATTTCATGACCTGTGTCATTTACAGCTTCCCCTTTGTTCTGAGAGGTTGGTGATCAATAATGCAGACCATACAAAATGTATAACTTGGGCTTTTCAAATGTATGTAGTACATATGCTTTTAGAAGTGATCTGTAAATAGCTGTTGGGAGAGAGCAAGAGCTGGCAGTAGGCTGTGGGGGCTTATCCCATTACTGTATGAGCTCTGCTGTGTGAGGGGTGTGTATGTGTATGACATACAGTTCTCTCAGTCTAACAGTGAGAAACTGAGTTTTCTATTAGTAAAAGAAGCTTGTCCTATCATGTAGCATCAGGATCATGCAATTAGTTGGGTAGGTCAGTCATTTGCTTGTCAGTGTCTAACATGGGGCATCTTAGAAAAGCAGGATTCTTTATGATGCTTTTGATAGTCTTGCAGATGGTATAGCACAAGAAGCAGGTTGGTTTAGTTTTGTTTACTTATAACTGTGCCCTTTTACAGGGGTGTTTTCTTTACCTCTTCTTCCCTGCTTTTATTGGAGGATAAAATTTAGTCTGGAATCCCTGCCAGAGTAAATAAGATGAAGTTCAGATAGGGTGCTCTCCTGCCCTTTTTGCTCAGCTAGAACTTTGATTGGATTATACTCATTTTGCCTTGTTTGCATAAGTAGATGTTGGTATGAATGAGGCAAGAAAGTTTTGTCTCACTTCAGCAAGAGCTTAGGGTGCACAAGAAGAACAGAAGAGTTAACATACATATTCCTCTAGAGAACAGCTGTAAGGCCTGTGGAATACCTGTGAGCAAACATGTCACCAGAACATGTTTACCCTTAACAGGGAATCTGAGCATTTGTATGAAGTTAAGTGTCTGCAGCACTGTTGTTGCTGCGTGTCCTAACTTGTTGAAAACTTCAGAAGTTGTCTTTGGCCTGCTAAAAAAGCAACCTGATGAGCAGTCTTACAAAAATAACAATAGCCTGTTCTTTCCTTAAAAACAAAATACAAAGTGCATGCAGACACTGCATTCAGCTCACTATTTGATGGTCTTTCTGGACTTTTCACGCCATCTGACAAAAATTACTGCAAATAAATTAATAATAATTAAAAAAAAAAAAGCCACAAAACCCCACAAACAAACCACCTTCACAGATGCTGTTGTCTGTATGAGTAGGTGACACTAAGTACCAGATATGTCCTTTGCCAGAGATACAGTTCAGGCTTCTGATCCAGCACTTGTAAATTGTGTGTCATTGTTTTCTGTTGTTCTTAATCAATGTTTTGATTAATACCAGCCCCTTTTTGAAAAAGTCTCATCCCAAGTAGGACTAGTTACTTCCCTATTTAAAGCTGTACAGTGAGGCTGGAGTACAGAAGCTTTAGAAAATGCTTCTAGAATGTGTCCATTTTGAGAGATCAAATTCTCCCTGCTTTCAAAAAGGAGCAGGGAGAGTTAACGTCATATCTACAGCCAAAATGCTGATTCCATGTCCTACATCACTGCAGTGTTAAAGGTTTTGGCATTAGTGTTTAGCTAAAAGTATGACTAGCACTGGTTTCCACATGCTTTTATGGGCTATAAATATATATATTTGGTCTGACAACACCACATTGTTCACAGTGCTGCAGAGATACTGAATGTTGTGCGTAGGAGACCTCTAAATGATGATTTTTGGTATTTGATGCAGATTTTAGAACATATCACCACCTCCTTCCAGCAACTTGATGTTTTTATTTTTCTCACACATTGAAGAGTATGCACTTTATTCCTTTCCATAATGCACATTTCAAATGGGCTTCCTTGGTAGAATAGGGACAGCTTCTATTGTAAGAGCCCTTACAAAGCAAAGGAATGTTTAGCACTTTTTTATTGTACTAAAGTACTAAGTGTTTGGAACTGTCAGCAGAGATTCTTGTGGGGCACGTATTTCATGTTGCTATGAAGGCAGCAGATCAGAAATGCAAAACCTTTTCCTTTATCCTACAACACATGTATGCATGATGCACGAAATGCATGCATAATCCTGTTGGTGATGTAGGCAGGGGTTATGGCAAATTCGAGGAAGCAACACAGTTCCAAAAACACAAAAGTGGAATATCCTAGCCCACACACTGCATTGAATCCCATGTCTTTTCTATAAAAGTATTAATATGGTGCTTTCAAAATTACTGTCCTTTTGATTAAAGCCACTGAGCATAGCGAAGAGAGGTTTTAGAAAGTTAATGTCATGAGTTCTTCTAAAGGAAAAGCATTGCATGTCGCTGTTCTGACTCAGAAGTGATTCACAGGAACATAAAACTCTTCAACCGTTTATGCTTTTAACATTTAGTTCCCGGTGAAACCACAACAATAGATCCTAACTTCTCCCCATGTAATGGTTTTCACTGCAGATCTCAAGAAAACCTGCAAGGAAAATGTCACCTGCTCCTTGTGCTTATTCCGTGCACCAACCATCAGTGACATGCTCAATGATGAGGACTTGTTGTACACAGTGAGGCTAAAGCTGGATCCTTGCCACCCAACAGTGAAAAACTGGAGAAATTTAGCAAGCAAATGGGGGATGACTTATGATGAATTGTGTTTCCTTGAACAAAAGCCCCAGAGTCCCACCTTGGAGTTCTTGCTACGGAATAGTGACCGGACTGTGGAGCAGCTGATTGATCTCTGTAAATTTTATAAGAGAATTGATGTTGTGAAAGTGCTGCTGAAATGGGTGGAGGAGGAATGGCCCAAGAGAGGGAACAGAACTTACCAGAATGACTTCTAGGTCAAAGAAAGTTGTTAGTCTGTACGTGTTAAATGCTGGGACTAGCTGCCACTAATACATTGGAAGTTTCCCTTGCGAGAGAGAAAAAGCCTGTACTGACAGTTTGTATACTGTGTAAGCCTTTTCTACTGTATACACATATGAATGCTCTGTATCCTCAGGGTTGCAAAGATAATCTTCCAAAAGGGTGTGGAATCATCCAGGCTGTGTTCTTGAGCCTACAAATTCCTTCAGCTTCTTTGCTGCTGTTGGTAGGCTTCCTAAGCAGAAGAGGAATGAAAAAGCCAGAATGCTGGTTTTACTACAGCAGTTGTGAACCATGTCAGCTGTGTTCTGTTGCTATTGGGAAAGCCACAATTAGAAGGCAAGTCTCTTGGCCTTACTGGCAACCCTTCCACAGTTTTGTCTCTTCTACCTAGTAGAAGATGAGGTGTATTTTTTTTCATTTTTTGTTTTTTTTTAAGCTTTGTGACTCTGTTTTTGGCACAGGAACACCTTAGCGTTCCAAGCAGCAATTTGGATTTGCATGTTACAATTAATTCAATGTTTCAACATCACATTTGAGCAAGTTAAGCTTTAAGTCTCTTTTATAAACAAGAATATATTTGCCTTATGAAGAAATCATGCAATTCAGAGAGACTTTCCAACCCATAATCTCTAGGGGGTCAAAAAAAACTAATTAAAATGCTCTATACTTAAAATTATTTTCCAAAGTTTTGAAGACAGTGTATACTCTGAGTGTAGGAATCAAATGCCTCTCACTTTCCAGTGTGAGAGGCTGTGTAAACCTTATCACTCACAGGGTATCGTTAGTATTGACTATAACTTCCCTTTTCACAGGCTGTGGTTTTCTTCACAGTCCTGTGGGTTGACCTACTTTCTGCCCCACACCAAGGTAGTTGCACACCTGTGTGAAACTAGCACTGTGTATTGATTAGAGCCACTCTAATGGAAAATTACCCAGTGAATTCACCTACAGTCCTGGTGGATGGTTATTGAAGCACTTACAAGTGGTTTAGACTGATGTTTTTCAAAGGATTTTGATACTCTGAATTACACTGTTTACAATGTAAGTATTTCAGAAATTGGTCTTTTTCCTACCATTCTTCTGACATCTCAGACAATACTAGTATGTACATAGGTGTATATACCAAAGCACTGGTGAATAGTATGTCAAGACATGGGGTAAAACTAGAATGGGTTGCAGGTTGATACGCTGTTTACTTTTCTCTAGTAGAAATAATAAGAATTAGTAGCAAAGCTGAGGAAAGTCTAATGCTGTATACTGACTTTCTTATTGTAAGAGAATGAAAAAGAACCTCTAGTAATACTTTACTACAGATGCTGAGTGATATGGTTACAGAGGGGCTGGAAGTAAAGATGAACATTTTCAGTGTCAGGCACTAGTTCTGGGGTGGCATAAATTAAGTTTATTTTAGTGACTTCAAGAAGCTGAAAATCTTGTTTCAAGGTGAAAAGAGTGACCTAAATTTGAGGTTTGAATTTTTTATTTTTTTAGAAAAGACTGCAATTTTTAATAACTTTTTTTTAATGATTCCTCAAAAAAGCTGCAACTGTTTAGAACTCTTTAGTTTTCTATCTGTATTTTAAGGAGGAAGTTGTACTGCTGTGTCTTGTTGGGGCTGCAGTTCAGATATTTTGCGTTCCTCTTCCAGGTACTGGGGTTTCCTGATAGATATCTGTCAACTCTAACTTTTGCAAATAATCTTCTGTCCTAAGTTAATGCTCCAGATTCAGCTTTGAGGACTATTGTTGTGGGTGGGCTCTTTGCTATTTTCAGTTCCTACAGAGGTGTCCACTGCCTATGCGCAAACAGCTCATAATGCAGCTTGTCCAACAAAATCCCCATACCCTGGGCCAACTGCACGCATGATTTAGGATTGTATGTCTGTGTGTTAAGTTTTTCTTCTGAGTGATGAGTGCTGGCATGTATGCCAAAGGCTCTTCCCTCCCATAACTTACCACAGCTATATGTGCGTGGTATTATAATATGCTTTGCTTTGGTAGATCCAGTCCAGCAAGGAGCTGGAACCCTCACCTAAGACTCAGAATGGGAATACAAAATGATGCAGCAGCATTCCTGAATCAATGTGTTCAACTGAAATCTACCCCTCTTCCCGTTTCCTGGCTAAAACTTGTAAAATTTTTAAGAAATGCTGATGTCTTCTGGAGATGAGTTCTGATCCCTCAAAGCTCTTGAAAACTCAAATGTCAGCTGCAAGGATTCATGTCTAATGGAAATAAAGCTGCTTCTGAGAGTACATATGTGGATTCTGCGTAAATTGAGCTCTGAAGGTTGAAAATATTAGCCTTAAACTTCACCACACACTGGATTATTTGTTAGTATACTTGAAATACTTTTCTTCCTCTTTGTATGTCGTAAATGGAGATGTACACACTTTTTTTTTAGTTTTATATCTTTTTACAAGATATTGGGTCTGAGTGTTCAGTTTATTCTTATATCTTCTGTTATAATGTATACTATTTTTAAAGAAATATAGATTGTCAATGTTTTACTTTATTGTTTTTGTTTTTATTACAGCTAGGAATACAGCTGTTTTCTTTCTCACCAGTCACCTTGGAACCACTGAACTATCAACTAGTTGTGGGGTGTAAAAAACATCTTATATATGAAATTCATGACTCCTTAAAGCACTTATGTTTGCAACAGGTACTGCTGTTCAAGAAAGGAAGATGCTCTTTTTAATCTATTCCATATGAAAAATAAGTTAATTTTGGTAAGATGATAAAAAGAGAGGTTTATCTAGACATTTGCAGTGGAGTTACTAACTATAGAGAGGTATGAAACCTATAGTGGATGAACTTTCCCTAAATTAATAACCAGTAATGGGCACTAAAAAGGCTCTAATAGGCTATCAGTTTTATTCTTTTATATCTTTCTCCTATTCCCACGTTAGACCTGCTCGCCCTTCAGGGGTTTCCAGCTTTTTGGCTGCTATCTCTGTGCCTGCAGGATTACCAATGGCCTCTCCCACCCACTTTAGCTTCTATGAAACTGCCCAAGCCCCTGTATTCTCTCATTCCTGCAGCTTTGTCTAAGACCTAATGAGCTTAATAACTGTTCTTCCAGGGCAAAGTTCCAGTGTTGTGCTCCAGGAGCACCAAGTTTTTCTGTGGGGCATTCCCAGCAAAACGGTGACAGTGTTCAGTTGCCTCATTCACTGCATGCACTTCCTTTTGATCTGTGAGGAGGAATGCAGGATGGATTTGGGACTGTCCTTTGGAAGCCTACCGTAAAGGATAGGGTAGTCAGCATGGCCCAAGATGCTTGCTTCAAAATAAGTTGTACAGCAACTGTAAACCAGACTTCTCAAGCCACTGCTGAATGATGGAGATCTGCAGCTCTGCCTGGGCAGTGCTTTGTGCAAGAGACTGCATGTTTTTCACTGTCTCAAACTGCCTCCCACAATTCCAAGTGAAGCTGTTAGCAAGAGAAAAAAAAAATGTAAATTCTGATATATGGTTGTTTAAGTTAGGCTGACTTACAGCCAGCCAGAGTTGGAAATTATTTGTCAGACAGCAGAATTGTTTAAACAAGGTCAAAGAAAGTGCATGGCATTTATAATAACTTACAGAGCAGCCTGCTTGTGTAATTTTTGCAGCATATCATGTTCTTCTGTCCATGAAGGCAAAACAATTCATTATTCATAACTAATTTTAATATATTTTGTAAACTTTAAGTTTTGGGTCAGTTTTGGGCAGAGGGGCAGAGCACCATTAAATGAGGACTTGGGCTTGTTGCCTGTTTTGACAGCGAAGTGCTTTGTCTAGCTCCTGAATTCAGCTAGTCTTGATTGCATGGCTATGGTCAGTTGGCCTTAAGTAGATAGGGAATGTATGGATCTACTGGTCAGACAGGCTGAATATAAGCAGCACTAAGAAGAACTTATTTGGAAAGGTGGAGTCTGTAGTATTTGGTTGCCTCTATTTTTGTCAAGGACTGGGACTGATTCCATCTTAAACTGATCACAAAGAGAAGTTTGCAGCTTTGGGAAAGGCTTGCTGTACTTTTTATTAGGGGCAGAGGGGCAGTTAAACTACTGGACAGACTTACTAGCTTGTTTGATCTCTGCATTTTATGTTTGTAAAATGGTGATTTTTGATTTCAAAGGCAAGTCTTTTGGATAAATATGTATTTGTTATTGTGGTAATGAGAGTCATGTGGGATTCTTAAATGTCAGAGAGAGCTGTCCAAGTCTTCTTAGGATGGAATCAGCAAGGTTGGCTTTAGCCTTTTGGAACTTCAACATGAAAGTATTGCTGTGTTAAATTTTTTTCAGGCTTTGTTTACTGGCCTTCACAGTGCTATGAAGATGAGGATTGAAATTGTAGAAGAGATGAGAAAGAAGTAGCTTCTATTATAAATGATTGGTGAGAAATAACGTCTATGGTGTTAATTTACTCTTTCTTCTGATGTATATACACAAATAGGTCCCTTGACTGAAAATCTTAATTATCTCTTTCAACTTTTATTGAGGAATTCTGGAAACAAGGCCAAATGCTTTAGTAACTTGGATAATAAATGTGTTTCTGTGTATCTGTGTACAGCATGAGATGGATACACAATTTTACATAGCCACATTAATGGGCTTTTTTTTTTCATTATGAGTTTGCTTCAAAATTACGCAGTGTTTAGTTTGGGAATGGTTTTTTGTCTTCAAAAATAACCAGAGTTTCATGTTGTTGGTAAAAGACCCAACTATAAAATTCCTTAACAGAAAGAGCCAGGATGAGAAAGGGGCACCCAAATCCTTACAGTAGTAATAATATCTTGAATCTAAGCTGAGGATTTATTTTTGTCTTTGCACCCAATATATGTCAGCTTCCCCTACTTCAGTTCATTCACAATAAACACATTTTTTTTTTGTCCTAATTTACTTTTGCCTCTGCTTTCTCTGAATCGGAGAAGTTCACCAACTCAAAGGTCTATTGAAAGCCTGTTCTTCTCTAACGATCAGAAAACACCTACCATCTTGTGGTGAGAAGTGCTACTACAGCCTTCTCACTTTTTCTTTGAAAATGTAGGAGTGTTAAGTGCAGGGGAGCTCATCTGTAACTGCAGAAACCCACCAGGGAGATCTAAGGGCAACTGCAATGCTGATGATGAAGGTGTGAAGGTCAAGTCCTAGGGATCTTGCGTTTGGTCACAGTCTCATCAGAGAGTTTTTCTCTTTTGCACAAATACGTGATGTTGCTTCTTTCTTATCTCCCTAGGTAGGTAGGGACTGAAGCACTATGTGCAGATCGTGGCACAACAACCTGGGGGGGGGGTGGTGTAGGGGGTTGGGATGCAGACAGGGACAGCTTTGCTCTAGTATCTATTGCAGTGCAAACGAAGAAGTGATCCTGACTACTTGAAGAATCCTAGAGTGCTGTGTGACTGATTTAAAAAAGAAGGGGTGAATGTTTTAGGGGTTATATGGCTTAGAATGGGTTTTAAAAAGGACTGTTTACTTCTCTGTAACTTGTTTGTCCTTTGGCCCTTGTATCTCTTCTATATCTTGTTTGCTCTTATGATTCTCTTGTACGTTTTGCCTTAAAAAGCAGGCATTGCAACAAAAAAATAGATTACTTATTAGTTTCTGAAATGGCAGTAGCATTTTAAGCTTTTGAATGTGTAAGCCCATTAAAAAACCCACAACTTTTTATTTTGTTCCCTGTGATTTGTAAGCTTTAAACTGAAAACTAGAAGCTCTGAATGAACATTGGAGCTAAGTACTGACATATCAAGGAAGAGTTATAGAAGGCCACTAATTAACTTATAGCTAAATAAAAGCTGAGCCAGCTGGACTGTCAACTGAAATTTTAATGTTGGTGTACCAAGAAGTGGTGACTCATGTCCTGTTGGAATCTAAAGCCTTTCAAAGAAGCTAGGGGAATAATTTCCTTCAGAAAATGCTGTAATGTACAAACAGCTCCACTAAAATTGTGAAAGACACAACAGTGTCAGTCTTTTGAGATCATATGAAGTCCTTACACATAAAGTTTCTGCTGAACAATACATTGTGTTGGATGCTTTATCCCCGTGGCCTGTAGTACTGTATTAACTAGGGGAAGAAGTTACAGTTATTCTGGTACCACACAACAATATAAACGAGATTAGCTGAGAGTAACTTTTGGTGGGGAGGTTCCTTAATGGAGACTAGTAGCCTACTTCGGTTGCCCCACTGCAAAGCTAGATAATGTGTGTATCCATCAGCTTTGGGCCAAGGATAAACAAACTTGTCATAATGCATATTTTAGATCTGTTACTAGCCTGTTAAGAACTCTTGATGGGACCTGCAGAGAGCCATTGAAGTTATTAGTATTGAATAATCGTAGTGGCGGATTACCGTGTAAGTGATATTTGTACAGTTCTGGTTCAGGACAATATTTATCTTGCAGGTTATTCAGACAATGGGTCATTAAAACATATTATATGCTGCTGTGGAGAGTTGTTGTGGAGGCCCAGAAGTGGTGTCCTTGACTTAAAAATGAATTGGGCAAATTCATGGTCTGCTTATTCAGTAAGATGGTGCAATTGTAACCTCTGGATCAGAAAGTCCTAAATGGCTGATTGTCAGAAGCTCTGTGTGTGCTTTGTGGTTCCTTTGGCTTTCTCTCTGCTCCTCCAGGCAATTCATGGTGGCCACTCTCTGTAATGGTCTGGGTTCGTGACCTTTTGACTTGATGTGGTGCAGCCAGTTTCATCTCTGCTGGACCACAGATGTCTTGTACTAACCTCAACAGCTGAACACAGGAAGCTGTAATGGTACTTTATGCATCTTGTGTCAAGTCTAGGGAATTCCATTACTGGTGGAAATTTTGTAATTGGAACTGTTCATAAAATATTGGGCCAAGTAAGTGCTACTACATATGCTGTTACCCTGACTTTGGACAATGGCTTGCTGCCCTGAGAGATACAGGCTTGGCAGCAAGGACAGGAGGTCTGCTTGAGAAGTCTCCTTTGAGGAAGTAGGATAGCATGTAATGATGTACTTTATGACACTGTGCTGAAAAGTGTGAGGGACTGGAGAGCAGGAGCAGGTAGCTGATTGGCAGCAAATAGCTAAGGCAGCTAGCAGAGCCAAGAGCACTGCTGGGGTGAGTGACTCATGAAGGACAGGGCAGCTTGGAATGCTGCTGAGTCTGGTGCAGGTTGGATGCAGCCCAGCTGCCCAGCAGGGAAGGCACCAGCCTCTGCTTTGGTGAGAAGTGCAGATGTAAGATGAGGTGTTGCCAGACTCTTTGTAGTGGTGTCCAGCAACAGGATGTCCATAAACTAAACGACAAGAAGTTCCACTTCAGTATGAGGAAGAACTTCTTTACACTGAGAGTGGCAGAGCACTGAACAGGCTGCCCAGGGAGGTCATAGAGTCTCCCTCTCTAGACACGTTCAAACCCCACCTGGATGTGTTCCTGTGTAACCTGCTCCAGGTGATCCTGCCTGGGCAGGTGGGTTGGACTGGAAGATCTCCAGAGGTCCCTTCCAACCCTAACAATTCTGTCATTCTGTGTGAG